ATATATTCATTTCTTTATGGCCAAGAAATATTTTCGAAATTGAAGAAGTGTTCAAAAGTCTACCATTTTATAAAACTTTGCTTTGTTATTCATTTTATTGATTTTTAAAAAATTTGATCTATTATTATATTACATGCGATATTACAAATTTTAATGTTAGAAAATTAGAATAAGAGTTAGAATTAGGTTAACTTACATGTAGATTTTTTAAATTGATGTTTCATTTGCTAATTTAATTTACATGTATAAAACTTATTAATATTAGAAGTCTTAAATTTCAAATTCACTATCGTACATACCTTTCTATTGAGTGCTAAAATGTACCACCGCCCTAATTACTCCTTCATTTATTGTTTGTGATTTTAATAATGATGATTTGAAGGTATTTAAATATATCATCACCCTAATTACTCCTTCATTTATTGTTTATGATCTTGATGACGATCTAAAGGTATTTAAGCTTTTTGCTATTATACATATATATTTCAAAATTGTTAAAACTCTTTCACGAACTGAATAGTGAACAATATTTTAAATTATATATGCCTAGAGATACTTGGATTGGTAAACAATTACATCATCAGTGCCAACCTGACATAATAATTCAAGAATGGACAAGTGGAAATATAGATATTAATTATCGTGAATGGATAGACTAAGGAAAATTTGGGTTTGTATTTTCTGTGAACTGGTACCAAATAGAAAATGTAATGGGTTATACAACAAATCTAGCATCATTATATTCAAGGCGTCTGGTTCTCAGAAAAACTCTCCTAATTTTTTGAAAGAAGTAAGCTGATTGTTATTTATTATACAATTTATTATGTATATACTGTATTAAACTAATTCATTATATAAATTTTATAAAACTTAAAAATTATTTGAAATGTATAACGTGGTAACAGGCTTAAGATATATGGATTAACTTATAATATAGAGACAAATGATGAATACTTCGATATGTTGATAAGTGAAGTCTTCAGAACAATTTTGAGACCTTACCTGGAAGACTAATACCATAAATACAACCATTTGAATTGTTTTTTTCATCTTGCTTTTTAGACGATTCTATACCTTAAATGTTCACTAATGTTTCTGTTCTGCAAAATATTATTATTGTGAAAGTCCAGATGAATATATCCTACAAAATGATGATTTCGGAGTGTAGATTAACGAACGTTGCAAAAAACGAACCCAGGTAAACAGTTTTACAAAATACTGTTAGAGCAGATAATGTGTAAATATAATGTAATTAATTTAATAATACTATTAAAAACCTTATGCATTTACAAAAATATATTTATATCAAAATTTTTTTTATCTTAGGTTGCAACCAGAATATTCAATTATTCGTTACCAAAGTTCACTTCTACTATCCCTCCTTGCGATTTAAATCCAATACAAAGATATAGATTGCTATTGAAATTGCTATGTAGTTGGCACGCAATTCCTTAAAATATTTTATAATTTATAGTTGATCGAAAAAAATCATTCAATGAAATTTTCTATTGGTAAAATAGATTATCAAAAATATGTCTAATCAGAAAATAGGGCCTTAGTATTATGGATTTGGGGAAATAATATTTTGATAAAGTGGATTCGGGTAAGTTTAGCAGCAACTGTTCAAAATTTTGTTGGTAAAATTTTGCAAAAGTTGCTTGATATTTATGGCTTTGAAGTTATTCAGAAACCCCAGTAGGATTTTCAATAGGTAAATTTAAATCTTTTAGTTCTTTTTGTTTAGCAGGAGATGATTTGTTATCGAATTAATGGGCAAATTAAAGGAATTGAAACTACTTTGGTTAATGAAGCCAGCAAATTAACTGAAAGCAAAATAAAAGATCTTAATGAAGAACAAGAAAGATTAAGAAAGGAAACTGAAGAATTAAGGAAAAAATTAGGCGAGCATGATGCAGCTTGGTGAAGACTCTCTGTTGGTTATCAATTTTTAATTGAATCATTCAAACTTAAATATATGCTATCCAGTAGCATATTCATTTATGTATTACTTGGCTACTAAATTTCTGGTATGTCTGTGGGTAGTGAATTAAAGAAATTATTCGATTATATTTATGAACATTTACTAATCAAAGTATTTAAAATTAATTAGTGTTGTCACTGAAAGCCTACTGGAAACAAATTCTATATTGATCTAGTGACTAGTGTTCCTAGTTGGTAAAAATTTGCCAATCGATTAGTTGGCAACTAATCGATTATTGGCATCACATGACTAATTAGTTGTTTAGTTGTTTAGTTGTTTAGTTGTTTAGTTGTTTAGTTGAAATAAAAAAATATCAATATGTTTTATAATCTTGTACAAATTGTATAAGCTCTTCATGCAAAAAAATTTTAATTTTTGCACTTAGTAAATAAATAATAATATAATGTGCCTTTATAAGGCTTTTATTTTATAATATAAAACTACAATTTATTCTTATTATATCAAAAACATTGAATTAAGAAAAGGTCTTTACTTAATAAAAGAATACAATATGTACTTCACTATATCAAATTAGAGTTTGATAATTCTATAATTCAAAAATTTTATTATATTGGGTCTTCTAAATTAAAAGTTTACAATTAGAGCTGATAGCTGCTTTTCTGATTTTTTTTGCTAATAGATATTCAAATAAGCTCAAATCTGCAGATTTAAACAAAAATCCAACTATTCTCATATCTTTTAAGACTTTTAACAGCGTATAAATACTGCTTAGACAGAATAAAAAAAGATACCCACAAAATTTAAGTGAAATGAATGATTCTGAAGGAGCTATTTAATAAGAGACACTAAACAAGCAAGCTTAAATTATAATTTAGATAAAATAGTTAAAATTGTCTTTATACTCACCAAATTAAGATAAATTAATGAATTTTGAATGCACTATTAAACTCATAAGTTAGATAAGATAAAATAAAATAATTAATTAATAACAATTAATGCTAAAAATGTCTAATACCGAAATTGGAAGTATATTAATAAGAATATTATAAGTAGAGTCAATATTCTTAAATAAAGACTCCAATTTCCAGTATTAGCCATTTTTAGCAACACAGCAATTAAAGTTATACTTACTAAGTTAATGCAGATTGAAAAATCCAGAAAGCACTATTAAAGGTAAGAACTTGAAACCTTAAGTTTGAATATTTTAATTGAATAATAAATAAATATTATACCTACCAAAGTAACAAAAATCAGATGACTAGAGAGATGCTTTTAAAAGCAAATGCTTGTAAGCTTGATTTATAAGGTTTAAATAAGATAATAGACCTAATAATCAATTCATAGACATATTTCACTGACAATTAGTTACTAGCAAGTTCATTTTACCAACAGTTATTTCATCAAAGCTCATCATTATCATTAGAGCCAATTTAGAATTAAAGTTAGTGTAAATTATAAAAAAAATTTTTTTTAGTGAAATAAGCTTAAGTGAAATAGGCTGTCAGTAAAATGAACTTGTTGGTGAGTAATTGTTGGTGAAATGTGATATCTATTAAGCAGTTGTCAGTGAAATAATACGAACCTACCAAACTTAATACACACCATGATAATGCTAAGTTCAATATCTGAAAGTTGCTATTTGAGGTAAATATTTATTAATTTAAACCGCATATTTTAATTTAATAGATGATTATTATTATACTCACAAAATTTATGCAAAATAAACGACTAAAAAATGCTATTTCAATGAAATAGTTATAAATATTTGAATTATAAATTTTAAATAGAGTAGCAAATAATCTTTATACCCATAGATTAATATAATATAAATAACTAGAAAAAGATAAATATTTGTTCATTCAAATTAAATTAGAAAGCACATTTAATAAAATACTTACAAGTCAAATCGATGCACAATAAAAGATTATTCAATACAGACTAAATTAATGCAAATTAAAAGTCTGAAAAGTACTGCTTTTAAATAAGTACATATAAGTTCAAATTGCAAATTAAAAGAGTATTATATGTACAATTTATTGCATAATCAAACAACTTGAGAAATACTATTTAAGGTAAATTAAGCTTAAATTGTGAATTTTAACAAGTACTTCTTAAGTAACTTGGAAAATATCATCTAAAGGTAAATGCTAAATAGTAAATTTATACTCACTATGCTATTTAAAGAATAATATATAGCTATTGCTTATTAAGCTAATAATAAAATTTAAAGCGTTAATATATATAGTCATTAAACTCAAATTTCAGTACTAGATATAATACTTACAAAGTTAAATTCTGTAAATTGCTATTAGTAAGTTTAAGCTAAGATAATTTTAAATATGAAACTCTATATAAAATTTGACTTTTGTAAATGATAAAAATATGATTATTTATTTAATATTTTATAAAACGTTCAGTATATAAAAATATGATTTAATTGAGTAAAGAAAAAATATTATTGCAGTTTTCGAAATGGTTGACACTAAAATATTTTATATACTCACTATATACTGATATAGAATTATCTAACCCTAAAAAATTTTTTTGTATACTTTAAATACAACTAATATAT